ACAAAGGAGAAGGGACTTAGATTCTTCCAAGGAACACCTGGCTCCTTCTGCTATTACCCCCGCGACACCTAGTCACTCCCCCCTGCCCCCCGCCACCTGGGAGCCATACCAAGCACATGCCTGAGAAGACACCCCTTCCTGCTGCAGACCCGTCTCCTGGAGCTGGGCTGAAAAGTCCACCGCCCATGGCCAGCTGGTCCAAAGTCCCTCTGATGTCACAGATATCAGAAAGTCTCACAGTTAATCTGCGTTTTTCACATACTCTGAAAAGACTTGGAAAAGCAAGAGCCCTCAGAAACAACTGCTCATTCGGTCAAAGTCTAGAGGTTTCTACAGAATTCAGGAAAGAAAGAGCACGAGTAATTCCTTCTCCACTTACAGTGCCCAGCTACTCTTAAAAACGTTTGGTGCTTTTCTTCCTCCAACGTGCAGCCCCACTGCTGTAAGCATGCTGGGGCAGAATATTTAAGATACATGGCTTGGGGAAAGTTGTCTGGTTTTCTGACAGACCCTTTGATTTACGACCCTGTGGCTCAATCAGTGCAGGATGTTGGAGAAAGACCAATTTCATTTGCTAACAAGTCTGATTCTGAGGCTTTGGTGTTGCCAACGACCCCAGCAATCATTTGCTTTTAATTACTATTTGGTTCTACAACGAGAAAAAAAGTGCCTTGCTAACCCTTCAACTGCACAAGAATCTAGGCAGGGGGTAATGGCTTCCTGGATGTTAAACTCAATTCAGGCAAAGCATCTTCTCTCAGGGTTATTTTAGGCGGCTTTGATTTTTTTTTAAATGAAGAGTAGCCAATTTCATCCTGAAAGAATCCTCCCAGCACACCTGATTCTCTTCGAACATAATTTATTTGCCAAAGGACTCTGAACCTCACAGCAAAGCTGTATAAAGCTTAAAAAAACAAGATGATTTAAAGTTTCTATTTTTACATGGTGTCCCATTTCCAGAAGGGCTGAGACTAGTGGTTTCAAACTCAATTTAGCATTTAAACTAATTTTCAGCCAGGTCTCTATGGACTGGCAATTAGGAAAGGCAAAGAGTTCAAAAAGGGGGTGGCGGGAGCCTGTGGTCTTCCGGATGCGCTCCCAGCCCCGCCCCCTTCCCACAGGCCCATGGTGCACAGAGCACCTGAGGCTTTGCATTTGGTGTCTGGAAAAGCACCAAGGGCCACGTCCATTTACTCCTTCTCATAGCTGTCCTGGGGAAGGATCTAAAAACTTCCGGAAGGCTCTGCAGGCCAAGATGTACAATGCCAGGGACAACAAGAGAAGAACGGGCCCTTTCAGCTCCCGGAGCCACGCAGACCTCAGGTCCTGGCCTTCCAAGGACCCCTTCAGCCACCCAGCTGGCGGTCCAGGTGGTGGAGAGCACATGCAGGGCCCTGGACTCCTGCCTGTGTTCTCCTCCCAGCCCTGTCGCCACCTTCATCTGTGGCCGCCACACTCCTCTGACCCTTAGAGTCATAGCTTTTTAAAATTTATTTTAATTTTGTGTGGTGATTGTGTTTAGGTAATATAAGATCATGGCAAAAACTGCAAAAAGTACAAAAAGGTATACAGCGACAAGTCTCTGTCTGGCTGTTCCCCAGTCCCCTTCCTCAGAGGCAATCGTGATCCACCTTCCTAGAAATACTGATTCCTTCGTAAGCTTTTCTTCTTCTTTTATGATTAGTTTTATACAATGGTATCATACTTTTCATGCAATTCTGTACCTCCCTTTTTCTTTTTCTTTTTTAACTTAACAGTACATCTTGGATAGTATCTAAGACTCAAGGTTCTTTAATGAGGGAATCAAGCCTAGGGTCTAAAGAGTTTACTTCTTAAGCTGGGTATATGTTCCCACTGCCTTACAAGAAGAGGGAGGAGAAAATGAGAGGAAAGGTTTTATAGCTAGGCATCAGTAAACACACTGATGCCCCTGTCAACTGCCATTCTCATTCCTCTGGGAGCCATGTGCCCAGAAGGTTACTTACTCCAGGCCAGGGGAGAAGGGAAATTTGGTGAGGTACCCTTTCTGCAGATTAACCCAATCTATCCTTCCATTTTCACCATTTTATAGAAAAGAGAAACTAAGGTTACAAGAGATTAGATAACACTACTGATGCCCCACAGCTGATGACCACAGTAGAACTGAATTCCAGAATTCACTACCATCTCCAAGTCTATATTCTCGCCAATTTTTCCAGACAGTCTTAAAACAAATAAATAAATAAATAAACCTCTCCGACTTTTTTGTTTATAAAAATTCTAAGGTAAGCCTTGCAACTCACATCCTTAATCCCCATGCCAATGTTAATAACTCACTTTCAAGACATTTTTCCTTCTGGAGCCACAACTGTATGCTTTTGCTCTCCCAACAGACAGGCTCTATTTAGGGGAAGACGCTGACCAGAAGGAGAATTCCCTCCTACAGAATCAGGAGAGGGAGGAGGACAGAATCATCTAGAGCTACAAGTCTTAGGAATATTGATTTTACCGTTTAGACTTTCTAAAAAGCCATGCCAGAAGAACAACAGTGAGTTTGAGGGAGAAGAGATGGGGGTAAGAAAATAAAATGGTTACAGTTCACTTATTTTTTTCAGAGTCCTAAAAAGAGATTAAGAGATCAAAGAACCTACGTGGGCATCTGCAGGTGAGGAAACATAATCTGAACCTGAGTGTGTGCTAACCACCAGCCCAAGGTCAGGTATGGAGCAGGAGAAAGGGGTCCTGACTCCAGCCCAGGTTCCAGAGCTGTACCCTGCCTCCTCCTGGAGCAACTCAGCCTTCCTCCTTCCTCTTTCCTCAGCCCCTTGCCTCACTCCCCCCAAGTTTGGGCTGTTTTGTTGCTCATCAGTGTCTTCCCTGCAGGGTGAACAGGGATGAAAAGGGCTCTGCTGGCTTAGCAGATCTTCAAAAAGGTTCAGGGTGAGACAGGGGCTGGTGCTCTTGGCTCGCATGAGTTTTTAGGATTATCTGTGGACCATTTTTATTCATGACGTTCTTACCTCCCATCACCAGAGATAATTTAAAAGTTGGCTAGACTGTACGCAGAGGAAGCCAAATGAAAATCCCCCTTTCCCCCACTGCTATCACACACCAGAGATTTCAAGAAAAGTACTACCTAGCTGCAGCATTCAACACGAACTCTGGATAACGCTACCAACTGGAAAGGTCCCGTAATGGAACCGGGAGCCTGTTATTGCTCTCAGTTTTCCCAGAAACCAGGCCCTCGCCCAGGTGCCACCCTGTGGAAGATTCTCCTCTTGATGCCTGTGCATCAATGTGTGTGCTGGGCAGAGCTGCGGCTCCCCCACCTCACCCATCCCAAGAGGATGTCTGGAAGCGGGCATGAACAACGCCCTCTTGCTCACTTCCCTGACTCGACTTTTCCTCCTCAGCACCTCTGAACACAGTGGACCTGGCTCCTGCTGTCCACTGGAATGACCCCCAGTGGCATTCTGAGCAGTGCTGGTGAGCCACCCGCATGCAGGGAGCCCAGGGAGCACCAGGTCTGGGGCCCTCGGCCCTCAGCCCTCAGGCGGCCTCACCTCACACTTGAGACCGTCCCTGACCAGACGTGTCCAGAGGAAGCAGCCTCCACCAAGCGGGCTTCCTCAGCAGATTTCCCAGTTACAGTAAAGGTGACTTGTATTACTCGAACTCACAATAACACAGATAAAAATATAACACTGAGTGGGCTTTGTGTTATATTTTTATACTGAGGGAGAAGTACTGTGATCTCTCTACCAGTCATGAACTGAGCTCAAGGACTAAGAAGAAAGAAAGATTAAACACACACACACACACACACACACACACACACACACACACACAAATAAACTGCCAAACAAAAGTCAATCAGGGCCCTGCAATTAAAATTGCTGTTCTAGAAAGGATTCCAGAAAAGCCAATCTGAGGGTGGGAGCCACTCTAAAGCCTACCACCTTGGCCCACCATGATCCGAGTCCCGCACGCCCTTCCCAACTCGAGCTCCCCTAACTTCTACAGTGGAAACGATTGTATTACATGTTGACACAGGTTCTGAGCCCTTGGGAAGTAAATGCTCTGTGAATTACAAATACAATTATTAGCCGATAGGTTAATGATAAGGTTTTAATTATTTCCTGCCTCCTTCCATCTTCCCTCTGATCATAGTGACTACATTTCATTTAGTCAAATGTGAGGTCTAGAGAAAGAGACTTGGGTTCAGGTTCTGGCACTGAAATATACCGGGTGACCTTGGGCAGGAGACTAGCCCCTTGAATCTTAGCTGCCTCTTAAGCAGAATCTTCTGACTAAGAGGATAGTAATATCTGCCTCAGAGAGTCATTGTGAAGACTGAAAGCAGTAACGTGGGTTGAAGATCTTCATGGGGTCAATGGCTCTATGCAAACAGCACTGTTGCTTTCCTCTCTGGTGCCTCCCAACCTCCTCCAAGGCGGGGATCACCTCTATGCTTGCGTGTCTTCCTCAAGTTTGGTTAGAACATCTCCATATTTCCTTACTGCTCTCCTCTTAGAACCACAGAAGAGGTTCCTAGAGTGCAGGAGCTGAAAGAAGCTTCAGGAATTTTCTAGGACAACCACCTGAGCCCCTACCACACCACCAACCTCAGTACCAACACTCACATCAAACAGGAAAATCGAGGCTCTACATTACAGGGCAAGTTGGTGGCCAATCCAGGTTCCCCGATTCTGGCTCTGTGTCCCTCCCCAAGAAGTCCTCTAGGATTCCTCTTACCTCCCAGCAGTGCCTCCCTCCATGACTCAGCTCTCACTCTCATGGGGCACCTTTGACCCCACTGATACAACAGGCCTTTAGGTCCCTCATTCTACTTCACAGAGAGGAGGCCGCAAGGCTCAGAGGGCAGTCAGCTGCCAGGTACCTTGGCATTCTGCAGGGGAGGCTGGTAACTGGACGGACGGTAGAACGTCCTCTGGGAGGCATCGGTGTGGATGTCGCCGAGGAAGAGCTCCTCCACCAGGCGGTCCAGGTGGTGCTGCAGGTACTGCTTCTCCACTCGGAGGAGCTGCAGCTCATGCATGGCAAAGTTCACGGCCCTGGTGCACTCACAGCCATCCTCTTCCCGCCACAGATCGTAGGGCATGTCTTGTAACCAGGTGCCCCCGGGGGGTACAAAGCCAGGGCACGTGCGGTTCACCAGCTGGCTGAGCCTCTCGGCAACAACCTCTGTGTGGCAGATGACCTGGACATTGTGCAGCTGGTAGTCGGCTTCTGTGCCCCCACGGATGATCCAGGAGGCCTGGCGCAGGCGGATCTTGCCCCGGATGATGAGGGTGTAGGTGGGGCTTGTGCAGCGGTTGCCAGCATAATAGAACTGGTAGGCCTTGAAAGTGTTATTGTGGTAGAATCTATAGGACCTTGTGATGAACTCTGGGCCTGACCTCACTTCACAGCTGAAGAAGAAAAGGGGAAGGAAGACTTTTTTAAGCCCAAAGGCATGAGGAAGAGATTCATTACAGTGTTAAGAAATTATAGTAATAATAACAAAATGATTACACTGTTCTAAGTCCTGTATAGATACCAGTTCACTGAATTCTCACGACAAGCTATGAGCTATGTGGGTATTATGTTTTACAGATGGAAAAACAAAGGCACAAGAGATTAGAAAACATGGCCAAGATCACATAACCAGCCTGCATCAGAACCAGATGGTGAACCGGAGCAGTCTGGGTCAAGCAGCTATGAGCCTAATCACTCTATATCAGAAAGTCTCTCATTCTCTTTATGAACAAGCCTGGAGAGCAGAAACTTGCCATCCTCAGTTCTACCCACAGACCTAACTTACTGAGAAATTTCTACCTTTCTGGTAGAAAGAAGGAAGAGAAGTGTATTTCTACCCTATTAAAGAAGTTCCCTTATACTATTTCAGAAATGGTTGATTTCTTGATCACTTCTTTTTTATAGACTTTCCGTAGAGCAGATATCCATTATCCTAACATAAAATCTAGTATTGTGGAGGTGTCACTTAAGAGGCAATCAGAAATTCATCCTCTCATCCGGTCAAAATTAATATTCCCTCTAGCAGAAAAATAAAGAGGCAATTAGTGAAATAAAACTAACATAGTAACAAAAATAAGGGTTCCTTTTGTTTTGTGCTGTTGACAATGACAAAACGTTTTTTGCTGTGCCATTAAATAAATGCTACATTCCTAGGCCAGAAATACTTGGACTGAGTCTACAAAGGACAAATGGCTCATTAGGTTTTAACTCAGGTACGTTCTTCATATTGCTCTAATTGTAATCCCAATTCATATACACGTAGCACAGACCACACCAGGCAAATGGTGGAGGTTTTCTTCAATGTATCGGTCAAAGAATTCATCTGTCCATAACTTTTTGCTAGATCCTAGTCTCAGTTATAGAATAACTTTCATGTCATCAATTTTGGTCTTATAACTCTGCTCATGTCTATAATATACATTATATAGTTACATAACATATCATATTATATATTGCACATATTATGTATTATGTTACATATGATATATATTATATTACATAAATTGGGTATATAATATCCATCATATATTATATACAATACTTTTTCAATTATACAATTATTGCATATATTATATATTATATATAATTTTGCCTTATAATTCTGCTCACGTCTCTAATATATATTTTATAATTACATATTATATGTTCTCTATTCTCTATTATCTACTATATACAATAATTCTGGTTTGAGCTAACTCAGCATTGCCAAATCAAACAGTGGGGGTGAAATCCCAAAGGCCAGTGTTCTCAAAAGTACTAGCATTTCCATTTTTTAGTTAACAAACTGGTAGAAGAGAAACACTACTTTGAAGTGGGTACCTTTCATTGGGTAGATTGTCAATTGATGTCTAATAATACAATATAGACAGAAAGCATTCAGCAGTTATTTGAGCATCTATCATCCGTGAAAAAAGTGAGAGAAGACCCAAGACTTCTCCCACAAGGAAAGAGAAGTTCAATGTGAGCAGTGATTAATGTCCCTCAAGGTTTAGTGAAGATCACTTATTTTTAATATTTTATCTAAGCATTGACGATCTATTGATTTGGCCTCTGGAGTTCAGCATATCTCAAGTCCAATCACTTCTCTGTTAGCCCTGTGACCATCTTTACCGAAGCCTCCTTCATCTCTTGTGGGAACTGTTGCCAAGTCTTTTGGTCACCCACAAAGCACTTTTTTGACCATCCATTTGCCACAGAGCAAGCAGCCAGAGTGCCAGAGTTGAATCATGTCTTCAGCATGGCCCTTGCTGAAAACCCTCCACTGACTTTCCAGTTCTCTTAGATTAAAAGCTAAACTCAGAGAGGAGTCCTGGCCTACAAGGTGCCCTGGGAGCTGGCCCCACCCTCCTTGGCAGCCTCATTTGGGGCTGTTCTTCCTGGTTTACCACACCACAGCTACAAGTGCTCCGCCTTAGTGATTTCTCCAACTCAGCCTTTGCTAGATGGAAAACCCTCAGTCTTTGCGTAGACAACCACATCTCAGCTCAAGTGTCCCCATCTTTGCTAGCCTTTCTTAACCCCACCCATATCCTAAAATAGGGCCCCTGGTATTCTCCTTTAGCACCTGTTGTTTTCTTCCTCATCATAGTACTTCTTTGTGTGTTTACTTGTAAAATTCCTGAAGACAGGGACCCTGTCTGTTTTGTTCACTGCTATAAACAGAAAATTTAGAATAATGCTTGGCACACAGTAAATAACTGTACACTCAATAAATATTTGTTAAATAAAATAATAAATTGTTTAAAAGTACATCACATTAAAATTGTGCAAATATTTATCATGTATTTATTTTGAGAAACCTCATTTTTACGGAGAAAAAAACACCCTCTGTGTCTTCATTATCTTACAAAATTTCTTTTCCTTCTTGGTATTTATTTGATCCCTCCCTAAGGTACCCAGAAACTGCAGGGGAGAAGTGATCGGATCCCAGAGTTAGCCTTGCTAATTCTCAACAAATTAATGGAAGGAGAAAAACTGCAGGTCTGCCTCTAGGCTATTTTTAAAAGCGCTAATGGAAGATAAGCCAGAGCTCAAACCGGGATAAATCTCAGCTCCACAGCCTGGAAAAGAATCCAAGAACTGCGCCCTGGCTAGTAGAGGTAGCATGAGTACCTTTTAACTTACTCAGAGAACCCTGAAGCCATATATTAAATTACCAGAATATGGCTGGAATATTTAGACCATCAGAGGCTTGCAAGTCCTGTTTCAGGTTGGGGAAACAGAGACTCCTAATTTCACTTGCTAATGGCTTCTTTTTATACACAAGTGGTCCCACAGAGGGATCTATTCAATCATATCCTGTGGTTAACAGTGATACAATATCATCTCTGCTTTAGCTAAGATTTCTATAATACTTAGCTCTGTTTCTTTACCAGCCAGAGTTTCAAAACGTTGTTTGGCTTATTTAGAATTTAGACAACACCTAAATCATTGTACGTTATATAGTCTCTCTGCATCTGTGAAACCCTAAGAAAAGCCTTCCACAGCACGCGCCCCTGGGTCCCTCCCTATGCCCCTCCTGCCCTGGCCCTCTTACCCGGTGGACACCCAGTGGCCCTCAATCGCTGGTGGCATCTGCACAGTGATCCTCGCACCATTGTGGAGATGTTTGAGCATGTGATGACACTGGGATTCCTTGAATGCCCTCCAGGCACTTTTTTCTAAGGATCTAGGATGTGATCTGCTATCTGGATGAAGGAGGGCAGAACCCTCTCCCAGCCCTGAAAAAGAATAGTGGAAGTTAGAGGAGAGGAGGGCTAAGGGCAGACGTGAATCAGGCTGAAGATCCTCCTCTGTGGCAGGGAAATTACTGCACGTGGGAAACGCACACCTACCCCAACTCCACCAGGCTTTATCACTGCCTCTGTTCTCAAAAATGCACATTCCAAAGTGGGAAGTGTCCTGGGAGATCATTTCCCAGGAATGAAAACCAAGGCTCATGGACATAACAAACAGGGACATGCTAGAGGTCACTTGGCTAGTTCCTAGCAAAGCTTGAGCTCAAATCCATGTCTTTGTGAACGGCAAACAAGGTCATGCATCTAAATGAGCAGTTGTGCAGTGCAGACAAATGAATGTCACAGGGGTTGTAGAAGAGAGAAATGTACATGTTCTAGAGCCACCAAAGAGGAGTAGATGCGACTGAAGAGAGAAGTAAGAAAGGGGTCATCGGGAAAGGTGACATGCACAGTGATACATTTAAGAAGGGAAAGAACAAGGAGACCGGCCTCGGAGAAAAGGGAATTTTGATGGAACGGAGAAAGGCCCAAGGAACAGCTCCCAAGATTCCCAACTGTGATCTGTTCCCTGGCGTGGCTCCCATCTGCTCACACCAAGTCATGCATCTCTGGTTCTCTCAGTCTCCAAATGGAGGCGCTCTCAGTGAGGTGCAAGTCATATACCTGCCCTACAATAGGGTAAGGGCATGACATTTTCCCCCCAATTATTTCCCAAGTCTGGCCCTTCCTCACCCCCACAAAGTCAGTGGCTAAATATATAACATAGAAGATTGCACTTTTATTTTCCATGGGTAAAGAAATAGTTGGACTGAGACTACTTGGACTGCGTTCATTTTCAGTATAAGTAAATAGCAGAAAACTCTCACCAGATCAGTGTTTAGAATAAAGCAATGGAAACAAATTGAGTTATAATCTGAAAGTTCACTGTTTCCTTTGAGATTCACTCCTGCAATAATTAACAAATCAATAGGTCTTTATTGTGGACCTACTATGTTTTCAGCAGGTGTTAGCAAAGAAGACACTAGACAAATGTACAAAAATAAAATAAAAATAAACACAAAACAAATAAATGCACCTGTTAGAATGCTACCTATGAGGAGGCAATTATATATTTTTAATCGACACCTGAATAACTTCATAAAGAAACCATGGTTTATCACAGATCATTTGAAAATGAAAAGTTAGAACCAGAATACAACTTACACCAATATGACGAAACTCTGCTGCAGAAACTAAGACCCACTGGTTGACAATGTCCAGACATTTGTAAAATATGCAGATATCTGCTGTGGTTCTGGGGTTGACCTAATCTTCTATCTACAGTCTTCTGAAAGTCTCATCGAAAGCACTGAAAATTATCGGGGTTTTCCTCTGAGTAAAATGCTACCCTGGTATGAAACAACGGCCTCAGATTGTTCTTGCAGATCTTAAATGAGAGGCAAGAAGGCAAAGACACTTACAGGTATGATTCAACTAAATGAAAATTGTGAAAAGTGATAGTAAAACAACACAATGGTGTCGTTCATATTAAAAGCAACCTCACCATCAACCCACCATGTTTGGCCAAACCAGGTGGCTCAGGCCTGAGCTAGAATGAGAGAAACACGAAAACTCAGAACTCTATGCCGAGGGGTGTGTACATGAATGCACATGGTTACGAAGGGAGAACCTCCTTTCTTGTGGCCTCATCCTTCCATCCAAGGGAAGGTACTACCGATCCTTCATTCAACCCTCACCCAGTGAAGTGGTGTGTGTGTGATGGAGGATGAAACAAGCATGTTTGACTCAATTATTTTCCTCAAAACCCGCCTGTTTTCAAAATGTACGCATTTTAATCAGCTTCCCTTCATGTACCCTGCCCCTTCAGCTGCTGGGCTATAGCACTGCACCAGAAGGAAAGTCTGAAAAATCTAGGAATGAACTATCAGCAATCCTACCATGGACATCTGTCTATACTGCGTCTTCTGATCACATATTTATCATGATTCTAACATTTTAATCCCCATTTGCCTGACACCTATGTTGATCTCTGTTGGCTTTGAACTAGCCTCAGGAGAGAAGTACTAGTCACTGTACCTCCACCAACCCCAATAGTTATAATTATCTTGATGATATAAAGCATTTCCTGAATTCACTGTTGGGCATTCAAGGATTGAAACATAGCACAATTTGCTGTTTGGTGATCAATTCTGATGTGGCTAACTTAAAATAGATTTTATTTCAAGTCATGAGACACTGAGAGTTGGGAAAGATTCTACTTTAAATATGACACTAAGCTTTCAGTAAATATGTCATCAACTCACTATCAATCAAGCTATGTTCTAAAAATTGATTTGTAAACCCCTTTACACCTGAAAATGTTTTCCTGTAAAGATAAAAAGCCTGGAGGGTAGTGGATATTGGTGAAATCTCCAGAGCTAGGCTGCTTGAGTTTGAAACTGGATCTGCCACTTAAAGGATTTCATCGAATCAATCCAAGACTTCAATGATTGTTAAGATGCATCATTATTTTATTATCAGTAGCAAAACACTTGCATTTGAACAATTACACAATGCCTTAACAACAAGTTTGAGATACCCATGAATCATGCATGGCAGCCTCAGGTTTTGACATTTCTTTTATCTATTCAAAGAGATGTGGCAATGTCTCCTCCTCCTTTAGTTGCATTGTTTCACATGTGACAGGTAATCCCTTTGCTCTGCATGTATCTCAATAACAAAATACAAACACAGCCTCATCTTTTTCTGGGTATCTTTCTTTCCAAACAATTGATTGTGTGCTGTGAGAAAATATGGAACTGCAGTTATTCCTCCAATGGTCAATATTTGCTTCACTGTCAAATGACACACTACTGCTCTGTCAAGAGGCCTGATTTTCACAGTGATTTTTCTTCTGTGCCGAGTTTAATTTATAAGGGAGTTATGGATAAAAAACAAACCCAAGCACACTTGGCTCAAATGTTTACTGTTTTCAAAACCAGCCAATTTGCAACTAAATTCAAGATACAGAGTACCAAGGATACATGTAAGTGAAGTGAGTGACATCACGTGATGACAATAGAAGCAGCTGTGTCCAGGTTGACACAGGCAAAGACAGTGTCGCCCCCTCCTACCTGCTGCCTGCAAGTTAATAGGGACTGGAAATCCCATTCACCATAAGATGCAAAGATCTTAAAATATGAAAAAATGTATATCTTACCATCAATGAAAGACACTATTAGCATTGTGACCTTAAATTACTTAACCTCTCTAAGCTTTGGTCTACTCATCTGTAAAGAAAGAATAACATTACCTATCTCTTAGGGTTGGTCTCAGGGTTAACCGAGATAGTTTTCTTTAATACAAGGCCTGGCACATGTTCTCATGCTGTTATTTTAAATGATCAGGTTCATAGATGGCCCTCGAAAAATCCTTTCTAGCTAATAGTACCATTAAAATAATAGTAAAAGTCATCCAGAACCAGGTTCACTCTGAGCTCCAAGAAGGACAGTGCTCAGAGTAAAGACAAAGGGCTCCCAGGCAAAGTTAACTGATGACCCTGATGTAGAAGATGGTGGGACGCAAAGCGCTGGGCTCTGTGGTTGTTGACAAGTTTCACTCAGTTTAACAAATACCTATTCACTCACTATTACTTTGTATACTTTAGAGGCCGGAAACATAAAGGAGAATAAAGATAAGTTTTTCTGACCTTGAGGCTCTTAAGGTTTCACTGGCCTGGATGTCAGAAAACAAGGGTAGAGATGATGCGGGGTGAGGTTGGGATTTGCATGGGTCATTCATATGGCTAGAGTTATGCAGGAAGGGAGCCTCCAGTTATGCTTTTTAACCAAGGGTAGAAGAAATAAACTCCAAGAGCAACCAATATACAAACAGTAGAAAGCAGACAAAAGAATAAATCACTTATGGTTTCTAGAGTCAAATCTCCATTTCACTACTGCTCTTATTTAACAATGAGCGAAGCTGTCAGTGCAGAAGAGTGTCAGAGTGAGCAATCAGATGGAGAAGAACTCCACCGTGAGCACAGTTCCCTCAGAACACAGTGATTTGGGGTTCACACTGTAGGACGATATTGTATTTTTAGGGTGGAAAGGGTGGGGTTGGTATTCTTCCCTTTTCATCTTTTCCCTTCAAAGTACCCATCACCTTGATTACTCCTAGGAAGCAAAATTAAATGGGTCAAGTGAAAGCAAGAGTTCCTGTAAGGAAGGAGAAACTCTCTTAGGTCTACAGTCAACTGACAGTGGTCTCCAATATTTACTTGGCTTATCTGGTGTGGAAAATGTGGACAGCCTTCTTGTGAGTGCTACTTGAATTAGAGGGCTGAGAATTAAAAGGTCATTTGAAGCATCAAGTTCAGCTGCAAGAGAGGCCAAGTGTACCAGCTGTATCTTTATACCCAAGACTTCCTTCTCAGCATCAGCCATGGTACTCTCCAAAGAGACCACCCTTAGACTTCTGGTCAACCCTTGTGCTCACTGCATAACCTGGTATATGTCAACTATAACGTGGGATTGAAACTAGCAACTCACTTATTCATTCGAATAGTCAGAAAGGCTCAGAAGGGCCAGGCACTGTTCTAAGCATGGAAGCTACAAACATTATGCCCCGAGGGAGTCTCAGTGGGGCAAGGAACCAGGCCCCAGACAGGCTTGTAGAGGGACTCATAGGGACAGAGAGAGTAGGCTCTGAACTCATCCTTGTGGGGTCCGTGGAGGGGCAGCTAGGCCTTGACGACTGAACGGAAGTGGTGGAGGCAGAGTATGCAGCCCATTCAAACATAAGAAGGCAGGGAGGCGAGATTTGTGTAGAAGGAATTGGAGGAGTGGAGATCACAGGGTGGCCCAGAACAGAAGAACAGCATAAGAAAGGCAGGGCCATAATCAAGATGCCATATGTGTCGTACTGAGTGTGAATTAACTGGAAAGGTGAAGGGAAACCACCAAAAGATTTTAAGTAATGTAATGGCATG